TGTGTGTGTGTGTGTGTGTGTGTGTGTGTGTGTGTGTGTGTGTGTGTGTGTGTGTCTGACACATGTATTAATCTTTAAATGTATGTACAGTATGTACAGATTGTGTGTGTGTATGTATACATGTCTATGGGAGTGTGTACGGTCCCTGTCAGTGTGTAATGAAATGTGGATGAACAGGTGTATGAAATACAGAGAGAGGCGGGGCAGGAGGCACCCAGGTGTGCAGGTGCGTGAGTATGTTAGAACCTGCTCGTCTGGTCGGCACACAGGTCTCTCATTCAAAGCGCTCGTAGTTCCTTGTCTGTCTCACACGGGGAACCATGTCCTTCAGGAGCCTGTGGGCAAAGAAACAAATTCTAATTGTAAGATACGTCAGCAAAAATGGCCGTTCATGCAGGTGCAGGTACAGAGCTGCTGAGCTGTATCGGTGCCATTAGCATCGTGTAAATAATGCCTTAATAACTATAAAAGATTAAAGATTTCAGATTAGACACTGCTGCTGCTTCATGTCTTACTTGACCCCATATGCCAAAATAATAAGTCCCATTAGAACTCCAATGGTGGCATCCAGAAACCAGACGTCAGTATGATGCTTGAAAACTTCGGCGCTGATTAGAATGGAAAATCCCATGATTGCTCCAACCAGAGAATTAAACCCTGAAAAACAAACAAATTTAGGTGAGGACAAATAAAAAACAACATTTCTGTTAACAATGACAGTCTTTTCCTGACCTTAATGTAGTTGTTTTAGTTGGACAGATACGGTGAAATGAAGGACCAACATGTTATGTGTGGTGGTGGTAGCTGGTGTCCTGCAGGTTTTAGATGTGTCCTTGATCCAATGCAGCTGATTTAAATGGCTAAATGGCCTCAACATGTCTTGGAGTTCTCCAGAAGCCTGGTAATGAACTAATCGTTTGATTCAGGTGTGCTGACCCAGGGTGAGATCTAAAACCTGCAGGACACCGGCCCTCGAAGCCTGGAGTTCCCCACCTCTAATTTAGAGGACCTGGTGAGATGCAGCATTCCCTCAGAGAAAGGATTAACAGGTGGGATAAAATATGAATATGTATCATCTCCATTTCACTTTGAAGCACAAACTAAATGTAAACTTGTATGTGTGATCTTTAAGTTGTATCGATATCCATTTTAAAGGATAAATCTGAAGCTACAGCTGAGCTTATGTATATTCTTCTGGTAGGTGTCGGATCAACATTTTGCAGCTGTTTTGAAGTCCTACATAAATGGCTCCACACTACATATACTGTGTTTGAATGACCCTTTATAGTGGCTGCTGTTGTTCTTTATAATTACATGTGTGAAAGCTAGCACGGTGGTTATTGTCTTGCCTGCAGTAAGTGTAGAGTCTTGTGGGAAATAAGAGGCTCAGAGAACAGCAACCTCAGGTTTATTGGATTGATGCCCTGTGTGTTTTGAGACCTGGGGATAGCAGTGTGCAGTGTGTGTTTGCCAGAGACGCTGTGTGTGTGTGTTTGTGTGTGTATGCTGTGCTTTTGTTCAGCTGAGCACGTGCCTACGAGCAGCGGGTCATCACAAACGACATTTTTTCAGTTCATTTGTGTTAGAAAGTCACACAATAAACACAAGCAGGCATGTTCTGGTTTGCAATGTTTGTTTCAGCTGCGTGTGTTTTATTTCCTTTGGTTTAATGTGTTGGCACAAATATTCTGCTTCCAAAGGCTTTGATGGTGCAGATGTTTTAAAATGCCACAGTCGTTTTGTGGGTTTGAATTATTATGAATTGATCTAAGAATAATAACTGTGTTCTGACTTTTCATTTTAGTGACGATTTTTAGTTTTTCCTCATTTTGAGTGAGTTCATAGTGAGTTCTCTGTTTTTGTTGTCTCCATCTCATTGATGTACCTGGTTATGTCCATGCTTAGGTTAATCTCCAGTGTCAGTTCTCTTTTTTGAGGGGTATAGAAAGAGAGATTAAGGGGTTAGCGAGCTTTGTCAGACTTTTCTGTGTCACAAAAGTGAGTAAATCACGTGGTAACTTCTGAACTCATAACCTGATTCAGGTCATGGGTTTTGGGTTAAAATCTGCAGGAAGTGCCAAGTTTTCACTAATTTTTTATTTACATGTTTCCAAGCTTTGGGTTTTGTTTCCTTCCTGTTTGAGTGCCCTTTCATGTGTGTGCACCTGTGTCTCATTCAGCCCTGTCCTCCTGTAATCTGTTATTATTCTGTGCAGCTTATCCTCAGACTGTCTGTGAATTGCTGTTTTTGATACACTTTGTTAGTTTTGGACTTTTTTGTTTCAGGTGTGTCTTTAAGTAATTAGATTCTGAATCCTGCGTCCTACATTTGGGTGCTGGTTCCTGCACTTCACCACCACAACATGACAGAAGCTCAAAGAGCAGATAAAATATGATGCATACACTTAATCCAAGAATATTAGCTTCCTCTGGCTCACCTAAAACCCTGGAAGCTTCTGACAAGTTAATGCATCAATGATACTAATCCACTCATAATTAATGTCATTCTGAAAGTGGCCACGATGCTTCATGAAAACTGTTGTGTATTTTGTAAAACTCTCGTATTTTTCATTCTTGTGTTATCTGTGATATCATTAGAACTTTGATACGTTTGCTGTTGTTAGAAGAATTTCACTTGGTAGGTAAAAATTTAATCATACCAGATGGAAAATGTTTGGTTTGAACAACTTAATTACGATTTTATTAATTCATATGAATATACCAAATAAATACACATGTTTTAACTCCACTCTAAGTCTCCCTCTTTAGGGACAGTGTCTTCCCTCTTGATAATTCAAACAACTGAAAGTTGCTTATGCAGCTGTTGTGGCTGAATCATGCCCATGAGGGCGGAGTTACAGGCCTATCGTTGTTAGGCAACACATAACCAGTAACACAGAAAAGAAAGTAATGATAACAATAATAATTAAGCAGCATGTACAAAAAAACTTTAAGTCACCTATCTAGTTATCTAGTCCCTCGTGCTCTTCTGTTGTGTTCTTCATTTATTTATAGTCATCGGTTTCTGTGCATGTGCGTGTGTGTGTGTGTGTGTGTGTCCTACCGTCAGTGATAAGTGCCCGACTAGTCAGCACTCTTCCCAGCATGAACTTGGCCACAGCCAGCACAGCACATGTGAGCCCACTCACTATGGACACACTAAAGAGGAAGTCGTCCTGGGGTGAGACACGGGAGACAAAATATAAGAGAATATGGCATTATTTGTAAAAGTATGCAGAGTGAAATTAAAGGTTTCATCCTAAAAAACAAACAAAAGTTCAGCAAAAACACAGAGGGAGCTACTGTACAGCTGCAGAGCAGGAACCAACAGATTGTGTGACCCATAAAGCTTCTGTCAGCTCAAGCATTATTAATATATACAGGCTCGCCTTGGTGCATCAGCCCAAGGTCATACAGATGAAGTGATGTGAGCTTTGGGTGTTTTCAGGTTGTATCTCAAACAGACTCAGCAAAAGAAAAAAAGGAAAACGCTTGACTCGAGAGCATCCACCTTTCAGATTTAATTGACCCGCAGCAGGGACTGAGAGCCGGAGATGAGAGGAAGAGAAGAGCCTAAAGGACACGTCTGAGGGGGAAACAGCCACATTGTTTTTGTTTTGACTTTGCTGTTCTCCACCAGATTTAAAGTCACAGCTATATCAAACATATCGGGATATTATAAAGCGGTATAAACTACCTGCTTATAAAACCCCAACTGTATTAGAAAAACATGCACACAAATCAGAGTAACTGCACTTCAACATTTAGGAAAACTAAAATTTTGGAAACGCCTGATTCCATCCTGCTATTTTCAGATGTTAATCTCACCTGCTGGAATCTTTTGAGTAGATTTACAAAGTTAAATTAAAGGCATTAGGCCTAAAATGCTGTTGTGGGCGAGTGAAAAACAGACGTGGATCTAACAAATGTTTTTTTATTGCAATTAATAATAAACTATAATTAACAATCAATAGTTGGCTCTATGTAATGTAAGGAAGCAGTGATCAATGTCTTTGCTAGTTAGGTCTCTAAAACGAATTTGTTTTTTGTGTTGTATATATTTAGCTGCATTTGCTGACTACTAAACAGATGCTAGTAGATGATCAGTTTGACCCCATGTAATCCCAGCAGACCCTCATCTAGTTTCAGAATTGTTGGGAAAAGCCACTCACTTGTTCCCTTAGAAGATGCTTATTAGTTAGTGTGCAGAGAATCATTTTTACAAGGGCAGCATCGTACAACAGCAACCTTTGCAAAGAACAAGAAGTATTGCATTGTAAGCAGATCTGTCCTCATTTTATCCACTGTACAGTTTTTGTAAAGTACACCCTCTTTATGTATTGCTTTATATATAATTTATGTATCAGGATATGATAAAAAAAAAATTAGCAGCTATTAAAATGAGGAAAATAAAAGCTCAGATGAACAGCAAAACAAGCAAAACACATTACACAGTGATTAAGCGAAATAGAGGAACAGTGTTTGAAAACTAAATACACTGTTTGCATAGAAACCAAGAGAAGTAGCAGAAGTTTGTATGAGTTTGTAGGTGTGGACCATTCAGCTGTGTGTTAACACAGTGCCAAGGAGGGGAGACATCAGTAATACAGACACTGAAGACAGTCTTCTCAGGTGAGGATTAACCCAAGAGTCAGATTGTGCAATGCTCAGAGAAACTGCAAGAAAACCCCAAGAGCTACATCTCAAACTCCACCGGCTACTGTAGCATGTTCAGGGTTAAAGTTTATGAATTAGAAAAAGACTGAACAAGTATGGCTTCAAAGGGTTACCAGGAGAAACCCTCTCCTCTGTGAAAAAACAAGGCAGCACAGCTTAAGTTTTCAAAGCTGCAAAGGACTTGAGCGCCTTTGTGTGGAGCCACTGAGGTGACCAAGTGTTCCAGAGTCAAATCTGTCTGACATGCTGGTGCAGATGGGGTCATGCAACAGGACAGTGATTCTAAGCACAGCAGCAAATCGACAACAAAATGTCAGAAAAAAAGATTTAAGAATTAAGATGTTGCAATAGCCCAGAGTCCAGATCTCCACCTGATTAAGATACTGTGGCAGGACCTTAAAGAAGAAGAATGACAAACGTCAGTGAACTGAGGTAGTAAAGAAGAGTGGGCTAGCATTCCTCTACGACCGTGTGAGAGACTGACAAAGTTGTAGAAACAATAATTTCTTCCAGTTATTGCTGGTAAAGGTGGTTCTACAAGCTCTCCAATCATGGGGTGTACTTCGTTTTTCACACTGCTTTTTATATTTTGGCTCAGTGTTTGAATAAATAACTAACAACCAATATGTCCCATGTTGCCCCATGCCCCATTTTTCTTAAATCTGAGGTTAATCTCAGGTTGCATTTACATAACTTTACATACTTTATGTCCTGATATGTTACATTTTTAGCCATCTGTGCCTTTCTTACTCCTACGTATTTGACATAGATGGAGTCACTTTTGTCCTTTTTCAGAAATTTGACCACACTGAAGTATTTTTGCATTTCATGAGATAAAAACAATCATACAGTTATATATCTATAAAATATATTTAATATAAATTAATGTCAGCACAGTCTTGGTCTGAGACCTTTTTGTGGTGCATCTGTACTGTTTGCTTTCATAAGGCAACAAGAGGTTTCCTTTCCATTGCAAGTATCTCCCAATGAATCCATAATTAAAAAGTAAATTTCACTTATATCTCTGTGTAAAGTGGATAAAAAGCAGCCTGTCTGTGACTGCATGGTGTGTACTGTATGTATGTGTTGCATGGCTACGTGCTGCTCTCTCTCCCAAGCACAGAGCTGGTGGGGGCCAATCTCATCTCTCTGTGTTTAATCAGGCACTAGACACCGACAGCCTGCCATGAGAGCGAAACCAAGGACGTGACGTGAATCCAGATTCCCTTTCTGCAACCTGCATTTACACAATATGAATTTACAGACCAGTACTTGCTCTTACTTACTACTGTTTTTGGGGGGTGCTATACTGAATGTGTTAGTAAGGAGAAAACTGGATAAATAAGAAGAAGATGAGATCCTTCCATCCTTCAAACTCCTGTATTTAACCAAGGAAAGAAGCCAATGACAGTGTTTACATAAAAATACAGAGCCAGATGGCTGACATCACTCTTAAACAAACTGATAATTAACCAGATGTGAGTTATTCACTGAGAACCGTTCATTGCTTTTTATCCTCTTACAATGTCAAATACACCAAGAGGCCAAATATTAATAGAGTACATGCATGTTTATCATAAATATAGAGCCTGAAATGGAACAAAGATTGATGCTGAAAACACAAGACACGTCAAAGAAATGTCCCAGAGACAGGCAGCGGTAATCGGCTCGTGCTGCTGTCAGGAAGGTCCTCTGAGACCAAACAGACAGAGTTTCTATTAACATAATGGCACTGAAGCATCACACACAGGCTGCAGAATAGATGCAGCCTTCTCTTGGCTGTACCCACTTCAATCTGTGCTAAAAGGGGCTTCAGTGACTCAATTTTTGTTTTACTTTTTATTCATGTTTTTATTTTTTCGCTTTATCCCAGTTCAAACAATTGATTCTCATGTTGTTTAATTGATTGTTCAGACTCTATTGATATGCACAGCAGTTACAGTTTTGCTCTATGTGTCAGTTTTCTAATTGGTCCACTGCTGCTGGCTTTTAATGTCCTGCTAATTTATGCCACTAATGAAGCAGTTGGTGCAAAGAGAAGATTCTCTGCCTGGAATTGAACAAATTAAGACCAAAATGTGTCTGGGTCTAAATGATCTTAACGAGATGAAACTCTGAGGTGAATACACATAATAACTATTAAGAGATCACATGAAAAAGCACAGAGTAAATGCCAAGAGCAGTGACTCTTCTGGAACATTGAACAGTTACATGCATGCACTTGACAGATTATGAAATTAACAACGCCCAAAGAATAGTCCTGTAATAAATTCTTGTTTTGTAGCATTTGCAACATTTTGGTGTTGGGAAGTTGTTTTAGAGAAATGTTAAAATACACCAGCTTGGAAAACAAAGATTTTGGTACTGGCAGAACTTTTCTCATCTGTTATTATCCAAAAGGAAGACTTTTAGATTGTGCTGCATTTATGTTATTTAATTTTAATAAATCAATGTTTCTGAGACAAAAAGGCTGTTTGTACACTAGAACTAGGTGTATACCCCAAAATCAAAAAGTGCCTCACTCCATTTCTTGCACCCTGGTGATTCCAGAGCATCTTTGTGAGCTGGATAGATACGTCGACACGCTGGTAACCTTTATGGACATCTGAGTTGATGTTGGACGAATGTCATTAGCAATCACTGTATTGTTTTTCATGTCATTCATGCATTAATTAAACTGCAGTTTGCATGTAAGTGGTTTAATAACTTAGTTGTGATGCTTTACAGCACAGGCACAACTCTACTGCAGTCTTTGCATGTGATATTTTTCCTGCCCTATATCCAAAATATTTCCAAACATCATGGGATGTTTGGAAATATCTTCTGCTGTGCAAGACATTTAAATTTTGTTGTATCTAGTTTTAATGTAGAGCTACTCATCCAGGAAACCTGAACCTGCACACTGTGAGGAAAAGCTGTTTGCTTGATTTGCTTTTGCTTTGTGTGTTGTTGTTTTTTTAATTGTGTCCTAGTCTTATGCACATATTATACTTTTAATTTTAAATCAACACAAGCATTGAAATGAAGTGGTACAAGACTAGTTGCATTGCTCTTTCTCAGAGACATCGTTGAACTAACTAAACTGGGGTACAATGGGAGAATTTGTTTTTGGTCTCCCTCTTCTCTGGTTAGTGAAATGGACACATGGTTAGGGTTAAATCATTTACACACAAAGAGGGTCTCAAAGCTGAGAGTGAGAAACATTCTCAGTCTGATGGTGAGAGAGCTGGGCTGTACCCCAGCAACAGAAAGAAGAGACTATTTTGGGACCTTATTCATACTCCTACACCTCCAGAGAGCGGTGGTGGGGGAGGTGGAGCTGGCATTAAAGAAAAAGAGTGTCTGTGTGTGTGTGTCAAAAACAAAAAGCAAACAAACGTCAGGTGGAGGGAGACATAAGCTCTGACGTCAGAAGAACAGCAGCAGAGGGCTATAAAAAGAAACCTTACTCACAGTGATGTGTGTGTGTGTGCTGCTGTGTTTGTGTGTATGGCACTAGAAAATAAATCATTATCCATCATTACAAATATACACAGATCACAAAAAACATCCTGTTTATGTCTATATCTCCAGAACTGCAGCTCTGTGAGGTGTTCCTGGTCTGCAGCAGTCCGTTTCTATTAGCAACAGGGTCACGGGTTGCCAACGGTCACTGAGCTACAGCTGCAATAAAAGTTCATGCTGGTTCTCATAGAAAGCCAGAATACACAAAGCATCAGAGTTTGTTGTGTATGGAGCTGCAGACCAGTCAGGGTGCCCATGCTGACCCCCGTCCACCACCGAAAGCGCCGACAATGGACACGTGAGCATCAGAACTGGACCACAGAGCAATGGAAGAAGGTATGTCAGTCTGATGAATGATGATTTCTTTACTGGGTGACTGTGCGTCGCTTACCTGGGGAACGGCTGGGAACAGGACACACCATGCAGTACCTCCTACCTAAGCATTGTTGCAAATCATAAACATCCTTTCATGGAAACAGTACTCCCTGATGGTTGTGGCCTCTATCAACAGGATAATGTGCCACCAATCAGAAATGGTTCAGGAATGATTTGAGGAACACAACAACCAGTTTGAGTTGTTGACTTGGCCTCCAAATCCCCCAGATCTCCATCAAATTGGGTATCTCTGGGATGTGATGAATAAAGTAGTCCAATTCATGGAGGCCTCACCTCACAGCTAACAGGACTGTTGCTAACATCTTGGTGCAGATACCACAGCACACCTTCAGGGGTCTAGTCCACGCCTGGACGGTCAGGGGATCAACACAATATTTGGCAGGTGCTCATAATATCATGCCTGATTGGTGCATGCATGTGAATGTGTGAGTATAGTATGTGTTGTGAGCCACACACTCTAGTCACATGCGTTTGTACTTTTAAAAAAATGTATTATCAGTGCACAAAGACACAAAGGCCAAACATTAAAACATTATTCATCTCATAATATCAGAAAAGATCACCATTAGAAAAGAGCCACAGCCAGTTCTGAAGTAAACAGTTTTTTCATTATTGAACTCAGTTTACTTGTCATGACATGTACTGAAAACAGATTAGACACACTATATTAGAGCATGATGTCTTCTGTGGCTTCCCAAATTGCAAAAAGTAATTTTCACAATGCCATCAGAGCGGGCTGTTTCCCAGAGAAATGTTCTTCTATTTGTTGAGCTGGTCTTACTTCACTGTGATTGGCTGAGCTATTTCAGAGTTCAGTTATTAGACCACATAAATGGGACTAGTGGAGAGTGTCTATTTATCTTTCAATATATTTTCAGTTTTACTCTGAATCTTTTTGCAGTTTCTGCCAAATAAATGCCAAATCACTCGCCCACGCATCCTTTGAATCCATTGCTTTAAATTGTTCTCTATGCAAGATTTAAGACAGGCTTTTTAAACCCACTCACTATGCAATGAAAATGTATCAGTCAATATTGGAAAGTTATGCAGAGTTATGAAATCAGTGTTCAGAATATATATTTGAGGGTTTGTCAGACCCGACAACAGTAACAGTAATATCTGGTTGCATTATGTAAAATACTTCAGGTTAGGGAGAGACAAAAATCACAATTAAGTCAAAGCTGTAACTTTCCTTTATCTAAATTACACAAAGAAAGTGCTGGTGCAGTGTGAGCCAGCGTCTGTGTCCATATAGTGTATGTGCATGTAGCCTCACCACTTTGGGGGGCATCCTGGTAGCCAGATCGTGGATGGCCTTTCCAAGAATACAAATAGAGGAGAGAACGAACACAACCCCAAGGACGACACATGCTCTGCAGACAAACAGGCAAAAGAAGAAGGTATGACGATTACTGATGTTGCAATAACCCAAAGGAGCTTAAAGGGGAGCAGCAATGCTTTCCTAAGGTCCTATTATTTTTACATCCATCATGATTGCTGCTTTTGCATTTCACAACAAAAACATCTTTTACATAATAGTTTCAGTGTTTGACAGACATTTGACAACATCTTTACATTCTTTTATTTTTAGTGATATTTGTTAGAAACATGGCAAATAATCAAAAAGTTCCAGCTACTGGAACCTGCACGGGTAAAGTATGAATGCATGAAAAATGTCAACGAGCAAACAAATAATGGATGTGCAGAGATGTTGCATAGACATTTTAACATGTCTTGATCACACAGGGCTAATTAGGGGAAGTAAACAGCTGGGAAAAACACAGATGCATACAGTTAAGGTAATGAGATAGAGGAAGTAAAGGAGCAACTATTACAGAAATACAGCCGGAAATAAAAATAAATCCCAAATCGAACTTAACATACGGGAATTGACACAGGACGTGGAAAGAAAACGTGGAGGGAAATAAATATATAATAATACAAACAAGCAGAAGGACTCAAAATATATAAGAATATGCACTAGGATGAAAACTGAGCCAATAAACAAACTAAAAAAAACAAATAAAGAATACTAAATAAACAAAAACCCAGCACCCAAGGGCCAAGACTGGGAACCATGAGGACATTATTTGGGTCACTACCCATCTCTCTTCACCCCATCAGATCAACGTAGTATCCTCATTACTGAAAACACTGCACCGGTCCATCACTTGTTCCACTCTCACTTCTTTCATCAGAATCAGAATGGGGTTTATTGCCAAATGTTGAGCAGGTTTACAACATTAGGAAATTGCTGC